AGTTGGGTGCCGTCATCCTCAGGAATGGAACCTGGCCAGTCGACGATGCAGTCTTGAGATGTTATAGTTAAAACAAGACCTTCCTGGGCTCCCTCCAGTGGCATTCTAAGCACGGGATAGGTAGATCCTTCGGACCATGTCTGATAAGATGTTGCCATGTTGTGGAGTCCGAACGGAAGAGGACCCGTCTTCCTTGAAGTACTCTCAGTGTACTCCAAGTAGTATTCTTGATAGGTTGACGTCATGTTCTGGAGCTTTGTCAGAAAAGAACTCGGTTTTCCGAAAGAACTCGGATAAGACTTCATCTCAGAAGCGGAACTTGAGTTTGAATCGGATGAGTGAAGTCACAAAATCTAAGTTGGATTGGACATTATGAGCTGCGTGTTCCAAGAAGACTCTCGCAATTGTCATTGTCCCACTGCTGATGGCTCTCCTTGCCTCGGTCGTTCCAGCAAGCCAAGGCAGTCGTGCCCCGTTAGGAGCAGAGCAGTGCTCCAAATCTGACAACTGCAATGAACAGTCGTGTGGGGCGACGTGCGCCGTCTTGGGTTGAATGTTGTTGGGGTATGCAAGGTCTCCTCCTGTTGTTGTGTCCCAAAACCATCCACCTCCATCGGCATCCGCCCCTAGCTTGTTCGCTGATTCATCAATTTGTCGATTCAAGATAGAGAAACTGCATTTTTGTTAGCAATATGTAATACGTTCTACAAGGGACAAATGTGTGGCACAATGTACTACATCCATGCGCATGGCAAATAAGTGATGGTGTGTATCCTTACATCAATTTAATACATAAAACGTGGTCACGCAAAACTTCACATTATGACGATACGTTTGATGATTTCTCAAATCTGCCTTGTTTTAGCCTTCTCTACCCAATTCCCAATGATTGGTAACAAGCATTTGGATGTGATGTCCTTCTTGTTGGCGTGTGATGTAGTGTGGATGGGCTTGCTAGCCTAGCATTGTCGAATCCTCCTAACGAGTGTGGGCTTGTTGCTACTTTTGGCTTCGCCAAGATCTTGCTAGATAGGGCACAAATGTCACCTCCGTGATAGCTTCTGACGGTGCTTGAAATTGTGATATAAGGAGATGCATCTCCTACAGAGGGCACTGGGGCGACAATGCTATAGTTGGGACTCATATAGATGTAGCTATTGATCAGTTCTCTAACAACGATGAAGAGACCAATGCCTCACGGTTCGTCATAACCTCTAGAACATACAATTCCGTAGCATATCCCGACGACAACTCAAGGTTTTCTTGTTGCAAACTCCTCCGATGATCTACTAGGAAACGAGAAAACTATGTGTAGCATATGTTTCCTACTGAGGGTATCACGGGCTATTGAGAGATCCATCCATCCAATCGACAAAAATAATCTATTAAACTTTTTGACTTTTCTGTACCTAAACCTCTCCCAGTCCCCTTGATGTCCAGCGCATCTCTCTACAAGATCTAACGACATCGAAGGTGGCTTTGACAATTTTATAGAAGCCCCGTTGTTCAATTTCCTGATGGGTCATCCGCCGAGGGCTTCGTGGGTCTTTTTGGCAAAGAACTAGCGTGGAATCAGCCTCTCCGTAAAGCCAGTCAGCCTCGCCATTTAGATCTATGTCCGTTGTGTATCTTGGACATGTGCAGCCCGGACGATCAAGCCCATGCTAGTGTGTGACCAGAATTCGCATCAACACACCTTTTATCAACTTTGCTGGGGAAGGAAGCAAACATATCTCCTACTATGGCCGATGGTTTGCAAAATGGTTCGACTGATCCAAGCAATCCCGTGTACATCATGAAGCCTTTGGCCTATCAACTTCCTAATGAGATTTGCAAGATGCTAGAGAAGAGGGCATAGGCCGGAGTTGTTACTAATCTATAGTATGCTCTAGTGTGCTTTACATTGCATCGGCTAGAACCTTTCAAGAAAATTAAAGGCAGCAAAATTGATTTTATTCCTGCTACAACTTCATCTGAGGTAAAAACTCCTCAACCACCTCCAAGATCTGGAGGGAGGGAATTTTACTCAACTGACCAATAATTAGCTGCTATTAGTTTGGTGTGCTTAGGTAACAAGATAGTTGTTGGCTTGGTGTCCATCTAATAGTTAGCTAACATAATAGCCAGGTCTATTGGATCCACCACAACTAATTTTTAGCAGCTAATAACTACTAACTGGTTGGATCCAACCCGACCCTCAAATCATGTTAAAGTGTTGTTAATTATGATCAATATAATATTAGCAGTAATCAAAATTGATATGGTGTATTAGCAGCCAATAAGTGCCTATGCATGGTAGATTGGTATGGGGTGAATCTATACCATTAAAAATTTGATTTTCAAGGATCAAAATAGATATGACATTATTAGGCAGCATATGCTTACTTATGAAGTAGGATGAGAAATTGTAAATATATGATTTAAATAGCTACCATCGGTGTCATTGAGTGGGTAAAATATATTAGAGGATATTGGTGCTACGAGTAAAAATCTCAAGATATGATATTTTTTAAGGAAAAAATGACAAAAATTGATTGCTCAAGGTTAATTTGGTTGTGGCTCAAGCCTATATAAGAAAAGACCCACAAGCATAGGGGCACTCAATTCTCAATCAGCGAACAACCACAAAGCATAGGAGCATCATCAAGGGACCAAGTAGCCTCCACTTTCGGAAGCCTAGCCTAGAGCATCATGGCATGTTCCAAGAAGACTCTCGCAATTGTCGTTGTTCCGCTGCTGATGGCTCTCCTTGCCTCGGCCGTTCCAGCAAGCCAAGGTAGTCGTGCCCTGGTAGGAAGCGAGCGATTGCTCCAAATCGACAAGCGCAGCAGACGATCGTGTGAGGCGGCGACGCGCCGTCTTGGGGTTGAATGTTCTTGGGGTATGCAACGTTGTTGATGGGGTCTCCTCCTGTTGTTGCGCATCAAAACCATCCACCTCCATCGGCATCCGCCACTAGCTTGTTCGCTTATTCATCAATTTGTCGATTCAAGATAGAGAAACTGCATTTTTGTTAGCAATATGTAATACGTACTACAAGGGACAAATGTGTGGCACAATGTACTACATCCATGCGCATGGCAAATAAGTGATGGTGTGTATCCTTACATCAATTTAATACATAAAACGTGGTCACGCAAAACTTCACATTATGACGATACGTTTGATGATTTCTCGTCCTGCCTTGTTTTAGCCTTCTCTACCCAATTCCCAATGATTGGTAACAAGCATTTGGATGTGATGTCCTTCTTGTTGGCATGTGATGTACTGTGGATGGGCTTGCTAGCCTAGCATTGTCCAGTCCTCCTAACCAGTGTGGGCTTGTTGCTACTTTTTGGCTTTGCCAAGATCTTGCAAGATAGGGGGCACAAATGTCACCTCCGTGATAGCTACGGTGCTTGAAATTGTGATATAAGGAGATGCATCTCCCAGGAGAGGGCCTTTGGGCGACAATGCTATAGTTGGGACTCATATAGATGTAGCTATTGATCAGTTCTCTAACAATGATGATGAGACCAATGCCTCACAGTTCGTCATAACCTCTGGAACATACAATTCCGTAGCATTTCCGACGACAACTCAAGGTTTTCTTGTTGCAAACTCCTCCGATGATCTACTAGGAAACGAGAAAACTATGTGTAGCATATGTTTCCTACTGAGGGTATCACGGGCTATTGAGAGATCCATCCATCCAATCGACAAAAATAATCTATTAAACTTTTTGACTTTTCTGTACCTAAACCTCTCCCAGTCCCCTTGATGTCCAGCGCATCTCTCTACAAGATCTAACGACATCGAAGGTGGCTTTGACGATTTTATAGAAGCCCCGTTGTTCAATTTCCTGATGGGTCATCCGCCGAGGGCTTCGTGGGTCTTTTTGGCAAAGAACTAGCGTGGAATCAGCCTCTCCGTAAAGCCAGTCAGCCTCGCCATTTAGATCTATGTCCGTTGTGTATCTTGGACATGTGCAGCCCGGACGATCAAGCCCATGCTAGTGTGTGACCAGAATTCGCATCAACACACCTTTTATCAACTTTGCTGGGGAAGGAAGCAAACATATCTCCTACTATGGCCGATGGTTTGCAAAATGGTTCGACTGATCCAAGCAATCCCGTGTACATCATGAAGCCTTTGGCCTATCAACTTCCTAATGAGATTTGCAAGATGCTAGAGAAGAGGGCATAGGCCGGAGTTGTTACTAATCTATAGTATGCTCTAGTGTGCTTTACATTGCATCGGCTAGAACCTTTCAAGAAAATTAAAAAAGCAAAATTGATTTTATTCTGCTACAACTTCATCCGAGGTAAAACTCCTCAACCACCTCCAAGATCGGAGGAGGAATTTTACTCAATCGACCAATAATTAGCTGCTATTAGTTTGGTGTGCTTAGGTAACAAGATAGTTGTTGGCTTGGTGTCCATCTAATAGTTAGCTAACATAATAGCCAGTCTATTGGATCCACCACAACTAATTTTTAGCAGCTAATAACTACTAATGGTTGGATCCAACCCGACCCTCAAATCATGTTAAAGTGTTGTTAATTATGATCAATATAATATTAGCGATAATCAAAATTGATATGGTGTATTAGCAGCCAATAAGTGCCTATGCATGGTAGATTGGTATGGGGTGAATCTATACCATTAAAAATTTGATTTTCAAGGATCAAAATAGATATGACATTATTAGGCAGCATATGCTTACTTATGAAGTAGGATGAGAAATTGTAAATATATGATTTAAATAGCTACCATCGGTGTCATTGAGTGGGTAAAATATATTAGAGGATATTGGTGCTACGAGTAAAAATCTCAAGATATGATATTTTTTAAGGAAAAAATGACAAAAATTGATTGCTCAAGGTTAATTTGGTTGTGGCTCAAGCCTATATAAGAAAAGACCCACAAGCATAGGGGCACTCAATTCTCAATCAGCGAACAACCACAAAGCATAGGAGCATCATCAAGGGACCAAGTAGCCTCTACTTTCGGAAGCCTAGCCTAGAGCATCATGGCATGTTCCAAGAAGACTCTCGCAATTGTCGTTGTTCCGCTGCTGATGGCTCTCCTTGCCTCGGCCGTTCCAGCAAGCCAAGGTAGTCGTGCCCTGGTAGGAGCAGAGCAGTGCTCCAAATCTGACAACTGCAACGGACAGTCGTGTGGGGCGACGTGCGCCGTCTTGGGGTTGAATGTTCTTGGGGTATGCAACGTTGTTGATGGGGTCTCCTCCTGTTGTTGCGTACCAAAACCATCCACCTCCATCGGCATCCGCCACTAGCTTGTTCGCTTATTCATCAATTTGTCGATTCAAGATAGAGAAACTGCATTTTTGTTAGCAATATGTAATACGTACTACAAGGGACAAATGTGTGGCACAATGTACTACATCCATGCGCATGGCAAATAAGTGATGGTGTGTATCCTTACATCAATTTAATACATAAAACGTGGTCACGCAAAACTTCACATTATGACGATACGTTTGATGATTTCTCGTCCTGCCTTGTTTTAGCCTTCTCTACCCAATTCCCAATGATTGGTAACAAGCATTTGGATGTGATGTCCTTCTTGTTGGCATGTGATGTACTGTGGATGGGCTTGCTAGCCTAGCATTGTCCAGTCCTCCTAACCAGTGTGGGCTTGTTGCTACTTTTGGCACTGCCAGTACTGCAAGATAGGGCACAAATGTCACCTCCGTGATAGCTACGGTGCTTGAAATTGTGATATAAGGAGATGCATCTCCTACAGAGGGCACTGGGGCGACAATGCTATAGTTGGGACTCATATAGATGTAGCTATTGATCAGTTCTCTAACAATGATGATGAGACCAATGCCTCACAGTTCGTCATAACCTCTGGAACATACAATTCCGTAGCATTTCCGACGACAACTCAAGGTTTTCTTGTTGCAAACTCCTCCGATGATCTACTAGGAAACGAGAAAACTATGTGTAGCATATGTTTCCTACTGAGGGTATCACGGGCTATTGAGAGATCCATCCATCCAATCGACAAAAATAATCTATTAAACTTTTTGACTTTTCTGTACCTAAACCTCTCCCAGTCCCCTTGATGTCCAGCGCATCTCTCTACAAGATCTAACGACATCGAAGGTGGCTTTGACGATTTTATAGAAGCCCCGTTGTTCAATTTCCTGATGGGTCATCCGCTGAGGGCTTCGTGGGTCTTTTTGGCAAAGAACTAACGTGGAATTGGCCTCTCCGTAAAGCCAGTCAGCCTCGCCATTTAGATCTATGTCCGTTGTGTATCTTGGACATGTGTAGCCCAGACGATCAAGCCCATGCTAGTGTGTGACCGGAATTCGCATCAACACACCTTTTATCAACTTTGCTGGGGAAGGAAGCAAACATATCTCCTACTATGGCCGATGGTATGCAAAATGGTCCAACTGATCCAAGCAATCCCGTGTACATCATGAAGCCTTTGGCCTATGAACTTCCTAATGAGATTTGCAAGATGCTAGAGAAGAGGGCATAGGCCGGAGTTGTTACTAATCTATAGTACGCTCTAGTGTGCTTTACATTGGATCGGCTAGAACCTTTCAAGAAAATTAAAGGCAGCAAAATTGATTTTATTCCTGCTACAACTTCATCTGAGGTAAAAACTCCTCAACCACCTCCAAGATCTGGAGGGAGGGAATTTTACTCAACTGACCAATAATTAGCTGCTATTAGTTTGGTGTCATTAGGTAACAAGATAGTTGTTGGCTTGGTGTCCATCTAATAGTTAGCTAACATAATAGCCAGGTCTATTGGATCCACCACAACTAATTTTTAGCAGCTAATAACTACAATCTGGTTGGATCCAACCCGACCCTCAAATCATGTTAAAGTGTTGTTGATTATGATCAATATAATATTAGCAGTAATCAAAATTGATATGGTGTATTAGCAGCCAATAAGTGCCTTTGCATGGTAGATTGGTATGGAGTGAATCTATATCATTAAAATTTTGATTTTCAAGGATCAAAATAGACATGACATTATTAGGCAGCATATGCTTACTTATGAAGTAAGATGAGAAATTGTAAATATATGATTTAAATAGCTACCATCGGTGTAAACATTGAGTGGGTAAAATATATTAGAGGATATTGGTGCTACGAGTAAAAATCTCAAGATATGATATTTTTTAAGGAAAAAATGACAAAAATTGATTGCTCAAGGTTAATTTGGTTGTGGCTCAAGACTATATAAGAAAAGACCCACAAGCATAGGGGCACTCAACTCTCTATCAGCGAACAACCACAAAGCATAGGAGCATCATCAATGGACCAAGTAGCCTCTACTTTCGGAAGCCCAGCCTTGATCATCATGGCGTGTTCCAAGAAGACTCTCGCAATTGTCGTTGTTCCGCTGCTGATGGCTCTCCTTGCCTCGGCCGTTCCAGCAAGCCAAGGCAGTCGTGCCCTGTTAGGAGCAGAGCAGTGCTCCAAATCTAACAACGGCAACGAACAGTCGTGTGGGGCGACGTGCGCCGTCTTGGGGTTGAATGTTGTTGGGGTATGCAACGTTGTTGGTGGGGTATCCTCCTATTGTTGTGTCCCAAAACCATCCACCTCCATCGGCATCCGCCACTAGCTTGTTCGCTGATTCATTAATTTGTCGATTCAAGATAGAGGAACTATAGTTTTGTTAGCAATATGTAATATGTCCTACAAGGGACAAATGTGTGGCACAATGTATTACATGCATGCGCATGGCAAATAAGTGATGGTGTGTATCCTTAAATCAATTTACTACATAAAACGTGGTCACGCAAAACTCCACATTATGACGATATGTTTGATGATTTCTCATCCTGCCTTGTTTTAGCCTTCTCTACCCAATTCCCAATGATTGGTAACAAGCCTTTGGATATGATGTCCTTCTTGTTAGCGTGTGATGTAGTGTGGATGGGCTTGCTAGCCTATCATTGTCCAGTCCTCCTAACCAGTGTGGGCTTGTTGCTACTTTTGGCACTGCCAGTACTGCTAGATAGGGCACAAATGTCACCTCCGTGATAGCTATGGTGCTTGAAATTGTGATATAAGGAGATGCATCTCCTACAGAGGGCACTAGGGTGACAATGCGATAGTTGGGACTCAAAGATGTAGCTATTGATCAGTTCTCTAACAACGATGATGAGACCAATGCCTCACAGTTCATCATAACCTCTAGAATAAACAATTCCGTAGCATATCCCGACGACAACTCAAGGTTTTCTTGTTGCAAACTCCTCCGATGATCTACTAGGAAACGAGAAAATTAAGTGTAGAATATGTTTCCTACTGACGATATCACGGGCCATTGAGAGATCCATCCATCCAATCGACAAAAATAATGTATTAAACTTTTTGACTTTTCTGTACCTAAACCTCTCCCAGTCCCCTTGATGTCCAGCGCATCTCTCTACGAGATCTGACGACATCAAAGGTGTCTTTGACGATTTTATAGCAGCCCCGTTGTTCAATTTCCTGATGGGTCATCCCCTGAGGGCTTCGTGGGTCTTTTTGGCAAAGAACTAGCATTGAATCGGCCTCTCCGTAAAGCCAGTCAGCCTCGCCATTTAGATCTATATCCGTTGTGTATCTTTGACATGTGCAGCCCGAACGATCAAGCCCATGCTAGTGTGTGACCGGAATTCGCATCAACACACCTTTTATCAACTTTGCTGGGAAGGAAGCAAACATATCTACTACTATGGCCGATGGTATGCAAAATGGTCCAACTGATCCAAGCAATCCTGTAACACCTCTGGTGTTTTGACCTAGCACTAAAACTTGACATGTCATCATGTGCATTGCAAAGCATTCATAAAGTAGAAAATTTTGAATGCATTCACTAAATAAGCTTTATTTCATAAGTGGTTATTTTATGTGTGATGTGAATCAAAACCCTAAATAAAGATCATGACCACAAGGGTCAAATTTCATGTGATCATGTGAGGCCATGTGTCATTTGACTCAAATAACCCTAATGGGCCATGTTACTGGTCAAAAATCAAAGTTAAAGTAAAAGGTAAACAAATCAAATTTGAATTCAAATTCAAATCATAAAAGTCCTTTTTGCCCCTTTTGTCTAATTCAAAATCCATTTGGAATTTGGCATTGTGACACAAAGCAAAGTTGAAGCTTATTTTATAAGGATCAACTTTGGTATTCAAAGCTTTTCAAGTTTCCATATAAAATTTGGAGTAATTTTGAAATGATTCAAATGCTCAAATGCATCCCAAATTCAAATTTCAAAATGGAGGTAGAATTTGAAAATGTTCCTTGAAGCAAAGTTGTAGAGTTTGAAAATTTGAGCAACTTTCATTTTTGGAGATTTTCAACTTCTTTAGAAAATTTGAGAGTAATTTGAAAAATGGACTCAGTGGCTGTTCTGTAAATATTTCAAAAATCAAAATCGACATTGCCTGTTTGCCACCGGCGACACGCAGCTGTTCGCCGTCGACCTTCTTCGCCGCTTTCTCGCGTGGTGACACGCAGCCGGTACCGTGGCGAGCTCGTTCGTGCGCTGTCGACACCGGACGTCTCCTTCCCGTCTATAAATAGCAGCAACCGCCGCTGTTGTCCTCCGTTTTTCCTCTTTGCTCTGCTCCACCGCCAGTCAGCTCTACCGCTCGCCGTAGCCGCCGTCGACCCCTTCCAGTCGTGCCTAGCTACACCAGCATGATCGCCGTGACCTAGTGCTCCTCGTAGGCTTGCTCGCGTCGTTTGGGTTGGCCGAAATCGCCCAGCGCGGCGCGTCTTCCCCGTGACCGGCCGGAGCTCCGCCACGACCGACCTCACCGTGGCCAGGCTGCTCCAGACCGTCTCCGCCTTCACCAAGCACACCAGCGTGATCGTGGTGAGCTCCTGAGCGTGATGCTCGCTTCGTTTTAGTCTCTACTGTACCGTGGTCATGGTTGTGCCGTGCGCCGTCGAGCCAAGCCGCCATGGCTGGCGTGGAGCTTTCCCCGGTGCGCCTGCTGTGATTCTGAGGGCTGGGATAGTTTCGTGGAGTTGTGTAGATGGTTTTGGTGCTATCCGCCTCGCCGGAGACTCGCCGCCGGCGCGTTTTGGGTCGGCCAGTGATGGCTGCGCCGCCGTGTCCTGTTATGTGTCACTGACGAGTGGGGTCGGGTTGTCAGTGAGAAAGAAAGAGAAGAACAGTAAGGTTTTGATATTTTCTGAATTTTTGAATAGTGCTGAATCTTTGGGAATTTGTAGGAAAATAATCATAGCTCTAAAAATTCTGAAAATTTGTGTGTAACTTCTGTACATGCTCTAGTATGGTTTAAAAATATGAAACTTGAAATTTGAATAAATTTTTAATGTTCAAATATTCAGTCCTTTAATTGATAAATGCAATTTCCAAGATTTTTGTAGGCCACTGTATAATTCCAAAAATTATGAAATTTGTTTTGGTACACTAATTTGTCATGAGGAAGCTTACATAAAATTTTGAGGTGATTTGGAACAAGTTCATTTTTGAGCTTATTTCCAAATTAATTCAAAAATAAATAAAAGCAAACCCTAAGTGTTAGATTAGTGTTTGATCTTGTTTTGGTCATGTTTTGTGACTAGTAGGGTTTCAAGATTAGTTCGGTCAAGTCACATGTGTGGTTCTTGACGGTAGAATTGCAAGTTGGTTTTGTTGGCTTGCAACTGTACCATGAAGGAAAGTCGTATTCGAGGTGTTTTTACATTTCATGTACCATGAAAGCATCATGTTTACATTATCATCATGTTAAAGCATGTGTTATCATTTCGTGTAGAACCCGAGAGTGAAACGATTCTTGTTGAGCAAGTTCTGGAAGAATCCCCGGTTGTCACGGGATTTGATATTTGTGGTACTGATCCAGAACCTGAGATCGTCAATGAAGGCAAGCCCCGGTTTATGCATTAAACCATTACCTTGTTTACTTTGAAAAGTTTATCACCTATGTTACTTATTGCATTAAGTTGATTAATTCAAATGTTACCTACTTGATGCATTGCCTACCTTGTTAATTGTTTACCATCCTTGAAGATGTTTTCATTTACAAAGGCGTAGAATGCTTAGTATGCTTTATGGTAGGCTTTCAAAGTAAAAGTTTCGATACAATCAAAGATGGCATACTGGCCAAAGAAAGAAAGAAGGTAGAATGAACTAGAGACTAGTCGGGTGACTTATCTTGAATGTTGGGTAATGTTGCCAATTATGTCGCTTAAAGGCCACTCATTGTGGATCTTCTGAACGAGACACTTTGTAGTACTGGTCACATACTCCGGTAAGCCTACTTCGGCTAATCCGATACTAAGACGAATGCCCACGCACTAGGAGTGGAGAGATGGCGAGAGTAGCATGTACCCTCGTGGCTGGAATGTGGCTGGATTTGAGGTGTGTTGTACTCTCGGGTGGCGTGGAGACGGCTTAGTATAGGAGGATCCAGTAGCGAGGTTGATATATGCAAGATTAAGTTCTACATATGTCGTGTGATAAGGAATCCCCAGCTGGGACTTGAATCAATTCGAATTGTCGGTGCTCTGCGGATATGGAGACTCGATTCATTACAGAAGCAATGCAGGACTGGTGAATTACTAAAATATGAGAATAGGAATGGAATGAGAATGTTTGGAACATGGGATATGAACACTTAGTTTGAGATAATAAACCAAGAAGACTTAGGGGTAAAACGTGAAAATAGGATGAAGAATAGTAAGCTTTTGGCAAAGAACTTTTGAATCTTGCTACATCCTTACCTTGCCCCAACACCTGCATCTTTAAAGTCTTTCACCCCCCGTTACGTCGGGTTAGTCTTGTTGAGTACTTTTGTACTCAGGGTTTGTTGACCCTTGTTGTAGGTGAGTCGCATGCGCAGGCTTGTTTTGGTCCCTGCTGCATGTCTGTGTTTGAAGTCAATGACGATGAGGACTGATGAATGGCCTTTGGACAAGGCACTAGTTTGTATGATAAATAAAGTTAATGTAATATTATCCCGCTACTATGGTTGTATGACACTTATGGTATTGTAAGTTTGAAAACAACTGGTTTGTAAACTATGTTATCTTAAGACTTCCGCTATCTTTTACTCTGATGTATATATTTGAATAAACTGTTGTAATCTGCAATGTCTGTGATTGGGATCCTGATTGAAAAGAGAATCGTGGATGATTCGGGTTTCCCGAGGACACCCGACAGACCTGTTGAGTTGTTGGGAACTCGTGTACGCTATCCGAGGTCTGTCAAGACAACGATAGGTGCACGTGGGCCCGATTTCTTAGGAGGTTCTGCCACAAATCCCATGTACATCCTGAAGCCTTTGGCCTATCAACTTCCTAATGAGATTTGCAAGATGCTAGAGAAGAGGGCATAGGCTGGAGTTGTTACTAATCTATAGTATGCTCTAGTGTGCTTTACATTGGATCGGCTAGAACCTTTCAAGAAAAATAAAGGCAGCAAAATTGATTTTATTCCTGCTACAACTTCATCTGAGGTAAGAACTCAACCACCTCCAAGATCTGGAGGGAGGGAATTTTACTCAACTAACCAATATTTAGCTGCTATTAGTTTGGTGTGCTTAGGTAACAAGATAGTTGTTGGCTTGGTGTCCATCTAATAGTTAGCTAACATAATAGCCAGGTCTATTGGATCCACCACAACTAATTTTTAGCAGCTAATAACTACTATCTAGTTGGATCCAACCCGACCCTCAAATCATGTTAAAGTGTTGTTAATTATGATCAATATAATATTAGCAGTAATCAAAATTGATATGGTGTATTAGCAGCCAATAAGTGCCTATGCATGGTAGATTGGTATGGAGTGAATCTATATCATTAAAATTTTGATTTTCAAGGATCAAAATAGATATGACATTATTAGGCAGCATA